GCACCCTTTGCACTTTCTACCCCGACTACCTCGCCTCTCTCCCCCATCAACGTCGGCACCCTCGCTTCCCCCGCATCCATCACTCTATTCTTTACATCCCACTCCCTTCCAGTGACGAGGAACTTCACCGCTTCATGCCTCCTCTCCCCCAGATCTATCCACCACCTCCCCCACCCGTAATTAGCCTACCTTTTCCGGGCGCTATTTTGGATTGAGCGCACGCATGCCACGTTGGATGACTTCCACACTCAGATTCTACGGTAAGTGGCACGTGTCAGCTCCGCATCGATCATCAGACAACTGGTCGGCGCCTGACGAGAGAGCAAGCGGGAGCTCGCTCAAGATTGCAACCCCCTGGGCGTCACATATGTGACAAACTATTTTCTGTAACCGCGCGACTTTCTGCACGAAGCTGCTTGGGGGAACACGCCGGGTCGGAAGTGTGAGTTGAGGAAAGATGGGTCGGGCGGCAAATTGCATGGATGTCCTCGTTTTTTTTCGTTTCCTGTTGGAAGTTGTCAGATCGGTGTCGGGAAAATCCCGTACCAATGATTGGGAAGCCATGCCTTGGCGAGCGCGAGAAATAATTGTACCATAGCTTCTTTCTTGTTATGTTGTGAGCACTAGGGATTTTTGGCGTGATCATCGTGAGGGAATATCATTTTTTAATTTTCAACTGACGACGAGCCCCCATGGGCTCGCGAAATTATTTTTCTTTTTTTCATAATTTCCTTTTACAATTAGAACGTAGGCTACGAATTTAGGAACGCTTAATTTTGTTGCGCCACGCTTGCGTGCATCTTGTTGCGCTAGGAACTGGGCTCTGACTGGATCGCGCCCTTAATCTTGTGCAACTGTCATTTTTGGCGGGCGCAATTGTAACTGTATCTTTTTTCTTTCTTGGTTTCCTCGTGTTTGCCCACCTTCCTCTTCTTCCTCCTCGCCTCGCATACTCTGTTATAATTGGTCGGAGCGCCTGCATGACCGGATCGATGAGTGGAGTGTGACTACGACCCCCACACCACGGCCTGGCCGTGCAGACGTAGGCACTTCCTCTCTTTTCCTCTTGTCCACCTGGGCTTAATCCCGTATCTTTCGCGCACGCATGCATGCTATAAATTCTGCAAGCGCGATTAGTTGGCTCTGTAAGAATTCCGAGGTTAGCGCGATCAGCGAGGGTCGGTTAACGAGCAAGTTTGAGAGGTGGGTGAGTGCGAGAGTTGGGCGATCCGATGAGCTGGTGTCGGGTATGCGGGGTTGACGTGCGAGGCCACGACAGACTGTGGCGCACGGGCGAACCTGGCTTGCATGCTCGAACCAAGTGGGGTGAAAACTCTGTGTTGATGCGAGGCGACGGATTGCCCGCATCGGGGGAGGGAGAGAGAGAGAGAGAGAGAGAGAGAGAGAGAGAGAGAGAGAGAGAGAGAGAGAGAGAGAGAGAGAGAG